TTGGGATAGGATGGGACTGCCTGATGCTCAGCATGGAGACCACATAAACTGTAAAAGGCTTTTTTTAATACGTTTTTTTTTTTTTTGTTTTATAATGCATTTGTGATCCTTTCCATTAACTGGTAAAATCTATCGGTGAAAAGAATAAACACCAGGAGCAAAATGGAGGGCTTTCATGCAAGTGAGAATGCAGTCCCTTAACACGGAGTGGAAATTCCACCTGTTTTTTTTTAATGTGCATTGCGCACACCCTGCAACCCTGTTTTTGTTTTTACTTGCAGCGGCTTTTTATACTTTTAATATGGTTTTTATTTTTTTGATTAGGAGTCGCCCAGAATTTGTTACAAGACGGGCAGCTATCTAAATGTTATTTTATTGATTTGTTAAATTTATGTGCTACCGTTCTCACTGACAAAGCAGTCTTGTAATAAATGAATGAATGAATGAATAAATAAATAAATAAATTTAAATTAAATTTCAGAATTTCTCTTCCAGGATCCCTTGGCAGCAGCCGTGCAATATATTTCGCCAAATTCACATCACGTGGACAAGATAAGGAGAAAACAAGCCAGATTACTGAAAGGATTATTAGATTATATAATAGGGGGTAATAGGAATTTCTCATCTACAGGTAGTCCTGGACTTACAACCATTCATTTAGTGAACATTTGCAGTTAACAACAACACTGAAAAAAGGGACTTATGACCTTTTTTCACACTTATGACCGTTGCAGCATCACCGTGGTCACATGATCAAAATTCAGATGCTCGGCAAACAGTTCATATTTATGATCTTTGCAATGTCCTGGGGTCTGGTTCCAGGCTGGCTCAGGAATTCTGGGAGTTAAAGTTCACGGATCCTAAAAGGGCCCTAGTTCCCCACCACTGCACTAGGTTATCACCCTATCTCACTATGGGGAGAATTTGAGATGGAAAGAATAATATCTACCAGCTAAGAAATTATGTGAACACTGGATTGACTCAAAAAAAAAAAAAAAAGGCATCAGGAATCTTTCTTTTGTTTTGTTTCCTTCATTGTACTTTTTCCAGGGCTTCTTTTTCCTGATGTAAGGCATGATTTGGGAAGGGCAAATTAAATGAAATGCAAACCAAATAAACCTATATCGATGTTCTAACCAAGGTTCTAACCAAGTCCTCGGCTTACGACATTTCATTTAGTGACCGTTTGAAGTTACAACAGGACTGAAAAAAGGGACTGGTGATCAGCTTTCACACGTACGTCTGTTGCAGCATCCCCTATGGTCACATGACCAAAATTCGGACTCTTGGCAACTGGCATGTATTTATGACAGTTGCAGGGTCCCCAGGAGTCACGTGATCCGCTTTTGCGACCTTCTGGCAAGCAAAGTCATTGGGGAAGCCAGATTCACTTAGCAACCGTGTTACTAACTTAACAACTGTGGCGAGGAAGATTGTTAAATGGAACAAAACCCACTTAATAATTGTCTCGCTTAGTGACAGAAATTTTGGGCTCAATTGTGGCCATAAGTCAAGGACTACCTGTAGAGCAGTGGTTCTCAACCTGTGGGTCGGGACCCCATTTGGGGTCGAATGACCATTTCACGGGGGTCACCAAACCATGCTGTCTGCCATTTTTTTCCCTTTTCCCTAGCTGTCCTACTCCCTCTTATTGGTGGCCACACCCACTTGGGGGTCACCACAACATGGGGAACTGTATTAGGGGGTCACGGCATTAGAAAGGTTGAGAATCACTGCGATAGAGAATCTTTAGATGCTTGCACAGACAACATTGGAATCTGTCTTTCTCTCCTTCGCTTCTTTATGGAGGTATCTCATGAAGCATCCCAGGAGCGTCTCACGAAGCAGACGGAAATCAGAGTACAAACCAATCAATGTGTACAACAGAGGCATACAGAAAAGTTGTATTTTTCTCTGTGAAACGACAGGCTGCCTTCATTCTTTTTTTTTTTCCCCCTCAAAAGTAAAGAGAAGTTCAATTAAATTTTCATGAGTTGAGTCCAGGCACGATGTACAAAGGGGGGGGGGAGAGAGACTTTTATCTTGGTGCTGTATCTGTCAATTTGCAGATTTTGATACCCCCCCCAAATAAGTCTTGTTGTTATTAGTTGCGAAGTCGTGTCTGATGCCCTATTTTATCCAAAGTGGCATGGCCAGGGTAAATATCTGAAGCAAGTAATTAAATGGAAGAGCTGAACAACCTTTAACAATGATCTTCTATTCGTGAAGAAAGTACACCTCTAATACATGTGGTGTTACCTAGTTTGGGTAAGGAAACGTCTGCAAGAAAACAACCAAGCTCAGAAAGCACCAAGGATCCCTAAATTTCAACCCTGAGCTACAAATATTCTCCTTTATTGAACTTCTGAAGGCAATAAGAATAGACTCAAGGGGAAACAAGCCCTCTAGTACAGTGTTTCTCAACCTTGACAATTTTAAGGCATGTGGACTTCAATTCCCAGAATTCCACAGCCAGCATGTGGAATTCTGGGAGTTGAAGTCCACATGCCTTAAAATTGTCAAGGTTGAGAAACACTGCTCTAGTAGGTCTTCTACACGTCTTCTGCTTCTGCCATCCAGTTTTTGGCTTAATGTTATGGTTCAACAAACTCTTCAAAGAACTTCATCTTTATGGGAGTAGCATAGCTTCGGCACTAACATAGTTGAAGCCAAAACCTGGATTCCCCTCCCCTGAGCACATAGTATCAAAGCACAGTTCCCTCCTTCAGTTAACTGTCATAAATCATATTGTCCAATTAGTTTGAAATGCAGGCTTTCCCTCCTGTTCTGCTACCTGCCAATTCTTATCAGCTCTTATTTCACACACTAGTACAATATTGTTATGTCTAACTAATTCCCACCACATTCCACCTCCTTCCCAAACATCATCTAATTCTAAGAGTAAGGCATAAGAAGGAAAAAGGCTGCATCTTCATATATTGTCAAAGCAAGAACATCCAATGTTAGCAGTGTTGACACTCACCTTTCCCCACAAGTTTACCTCTCTTTTTCAGTTAAAAACCACACTGACCTCCACTGGGAAACGTTTAGTCCGAGTGTTGTGTCTGTCTGTGATGAATTCTCCAAAGAGGAAGATCTGGCCTCTCTTTAAAAATAGGACTTACAAGAGACAATGACATCTCAGTCAATTTTCAGGGAAGAGTCTGATTTGATCATTTTGCCCAAAGAGGACACAATTAGAGATGATGCTTTGCTGGAATCTGCTTTTTTTTTCAGATCCAAAAGAGTGGCAGCAACTAAGTAAAAATAAACTGAGTAGCTGGGTTTAGGAATCGACAGCATTAGAGTTTTGCCAGGATAGGAATAAGACATTGTCTGTGGGAGATGCTCTGTGTCAACGCTGCTAACATCGGGTGTTTTTGCATTGACAACAGATGGAGGTGCAGCCATTTTCTTCCTTTTGCTTTTAGAATTGGATGTTGCAGGGAGAGGAGGGAAATGTGCATGAGAGTCTAGCTAGACATAATAACACTGGACCTAATGTGAAAACCAAGGCTATTGAAATAAGAGATGATAAGAATTGGTGGGCTGGAGAGCAGGAAGGAAAGCCCTGCTTTTAACTAGTTGAGGAATGTGATTTATGACTGTTTACTGGAGGAGGGAATTGTGCTTTGATACTATGTGCTCAGGGGAGGGGAATTCAGTTTTTGGCTTCGATTATGTTAGTGCCGATGCTATGCTACTCAAATAAAGATTCTTTAAGGTAAACAATGTCTCGAAGTCCTTTGAAGAGTTTCATCTGTCGGAACCATGACACTCTGCTTTGCAAAGTTATATTTGCCCTTCGACCACCTTCATTGTTGTTTGCAATTGAGATTCTTCTTGAGAATCTCATGAATTTTCTTTGTGAAACCAGATCCTTGTAGCTGTACTCTTAAGATGGACTCTTGATTTCTTCTTCTTGACTACCTTTTTGATTCAGCCTTCGGCTACCAGATTAAGAAAATTAGGCCACAAACAAACAACTGTTTTATCTACAAGAGGCAACTCATCTCAGATTTTCTAGTCCACTTCTCACAGCTTTTCCCCTACATTAGATCAGCTATGCCAATTACTTAAGAGTGATTTATAGTAATTACAGCTGTAAAGCACCATGCAAGAGCAGGTTGCAATGTCTTCTCATCACTGTCATAAATGCTCCTTTGCTTAAAAGAAACTAACAGGGCAAAGCAGCTGGGAGGGGGATCTTGAGGGCTGTGTGTTGGCCCTATGTTAGGGTATGAACCTTGGCAAATGCCTGAAAAGGCAACTTTTCAATCGTGATTGACTGATAACATTTATGTTTCTTTATTTTCATCGGTGGCCCACAAATTTGATTCCAATGTTCCTGGCCGTCAGGATGATTTTAAAGTAGCAATCTACCAGAAATTTTTTAGTAAAAAGTTTGATTTATGTTTTTTTTTTAAAAAAATACAGTGTGTGTGTGTGTGTATAAAATTGCATCCATCGTGATGTAAGTGTTGTCCCTTTGAACAAGTCTCCTTCCAAAGAGAAGAAGAAGCTAATTTTGAGCGCAGGAAAGCGCCTTGAGATCTTGACCAAATAAATTTCCTTTATCCTAACTTCTAATCCTGGGATCAAATTCTGAAGCAAAGCCCCGATGATCTAAGTAACATGCCAGACAGCAGAGGGATGGAGAAATAGGCCTATATTTGTTTATTTATCATATTTATACAACTGCTGAGACAAAGATACAAGAGTTTGACTTTGCCTTCTGGGAAGTTTATAAATGGTGATCACATGACCCAGGCACAGTGCAAGGGTCATAAACCCAGGCCAGTTGCCAAGCGATTCAATTTTGATCACACAACCGCGGGGATGTAATTCATAAGTGTGAAAACTGGTCATAAGTCACTTTCTCCCATGCATTGTAACTTTGAACGGTCCCCAAAGGAATGGTTTGCAAACCAAGTATGTGTGCTGCCATATCTTTTCTTTTTCTTGCATTCTAGTCTTTTGTGAATAGAAATAAGCTTTACCTTTTATTTCTCCAAAGTTCCCTGATCCCATGGCAAGGAGCTTGTCTTTCCAATCTTTTGATAGTAGTTTTTCAATACTGGGGGTTTCTGAATGAAGAGAAAGAGAGGGGAGAAAGAAAAAAAAAAAAGGAATCAACCTGACTGATCCGCACAATAGAACTCATTAAAAGTCTATCTGCTAAAAATAAGTGTGATCCCATCTCAGACCCCAGTTCATAATGACTTCATCAACATACTGATAACAGGGGAAAGCATGGTTAAAAAAAGAGAGAAAAGAATGCGTTTTGTCACCTGCTGTTTCAAAATCATTAGCTTTTCCTCTGTCTGAACAAAGCTGTTCCATATGACAATGGAAAACACAGAAACCTGGCGTGTATTGTTTTTCAATTTAGAGAACAAGTTTCTGCTCATAATGGATGCTTGTCAATTTCAGGGTGTTAGCCTGCAGTCAAAAAAATATAATTATGTTGATAAAATGCACAGGGTGGGGGGGAGAAGGGGGGAAAAACAAGGCAAAGAATTAGTGGCTAAATCTGCTACATGTAATTATATCCCTCGGTGTGTTTACAATTACATCCACTTTACAATGTGTTTAAACATAGTGTGGTGGTAAGCATGCTGTGGCAAGATTTCCCCCCCCCCAAAACCCCTCTCCCTTGTAACACACTCATCGCAAACAAATAATAAGGGTAGCAGTTGTAATAATAATTCACAAAGAGCTCGGAATAGTAAAAACTGGCTGTGCTAGTGCTTGGAGTTGTGTTTGAAAAGAGAGCTTCAGAATGTGTGAAGGCGAAAATGTGGCCCTGTTTGCAATTTTAAAGTTTCCCAGATTCTATTCCCAGGCAAAGACGGGGAAAGACATGGCTGCAGCTGCAGATGAGGCTGCAGTTCAGACCCACAGTCAAGTAAACAACACCCCAATCAACAAACTGCCAAAGAGCCATTAGTAAACAGCCCAACCAAAGAATCTCTAAAATCGCCTCCACCCACCCACCCACACACGCACGACACCAAAATATAAACTGACAGCAAATGGCACTCCTTACTAGCAGTGATGATGTTACCTAGTTGGGTCATGAAACGTCTGCAAGAAAACAAGCAAGCTCAGAGAGTACCAGGGACCCCTCATTTCAACGCTGAGCTACAAATATTCTCCTTCAAAAAGCGAAGAACCCCACAATTCCTTAAAATAATGTCTGCAAGATTAGATTCTTGATGTTGGATCAAGTGAACTAGAGATAATAAGCGACCCAGAATTTGTACATTGCTTACTTTACTGTTTCTCAACTTTGGCAACTCTAGGACATGATGGCGAATCTTTTAGAGACTGAGTGCCCAAACTGCAACCCAAAACCCACTTATGCATCTTCGGGTGCCAGGTGGGTGTGGCCCATTGGCTGGGCGTGGCTGCAGTGATAACAGCAGACTGGGTGGGACTAAAAAGTTCAATCAATCAATTCCAACTTTGCAAGAACTTTTTTTTCCTGCAAGAAATTGAAATTGACTGATTGATTGAACCTTTATTTTTTTGTACACAGCAGTGGAGGCCTAAAGCGAAAAGGTTTTATAAAACCCAGCTGAAGATCTAGGACTGGGGCGACGGTGCACGTGTCCATAGAAAGGGCTCTGAGTGCCGCCTCTGGCACCCATGCCATAGATTCGCCACCACTGCTCTAGGATGTTAGGACTTCAACTCCCAGAATTACCCAGCTGGAACATAGTCTGGGGAATACTAGCAGTTGAAGGCTGGGCATTCTGGGAGTTGAAGTCCACCCATCTTAAAGTTGCCAAGGTTGAGTGACATTGGCTTACTTAAAAGCTATGGGTTTATGATTTTATGTACTTTATCCACACAGTTTCATTATTGATAATGCTTTCACTCTGTCCTTGCTTTTCCCATGAAACTTTTTTTTTATATATTTCTTTGTGCAATTATAAAGTACAAAACCTAATACAACCCACAGGACATTCAACTTGCTTCCAAACAATGTGATTGTGTATTCTACTCAGCAGTTAGAAAGGTTCACAGTATAATAGCTTTCAATCCTGCGATTAGTGCTGCATTCAGATAGAAAATGGAGTGCAGTAAAATATAAGTGCTCCAGTATGTTCCATCTAAATAACAATGGCCTCAGTGACTATCTTTATCTCACAACATTAACTGCTATCCCCCACTTTTGTGCTCAGGTCTAATTTGAGCCAGCATTTGTCTAAACCCCTGCTTGGGAACTGAAAGGGAGTTATATGTTAACTTTTCAAAGGAATTGTCTGGTTTAGAGACTGCACATTATTAGCAGCTGGTAAATTTCCTCTCCAGAAAGACAAGACAGAACAATAAAAAAAAGAGAGATGCAGGCAACCAATTGTTGATTAAACTGTCTAATTTTGTTTTCCTTGTTTTGTTTTTCAAAGCTGACATCCCCCACACTAAATGGCAGTCAAAAGCCAGGAACAAACTGTTAACAATCCTAGAATTATTTTGGTTTAGCATGTTGCATGAACCTCGCACAATCCTCAAGGGTGGCTTGTTATCCGAAGTGAAATGTTGGAAGCTGATGGATGAATAGCTTAGGAAATATTTCCATTTCTAATTCTCCCAAGGCTTTGATCACAGTTGCATCTTCAGCCTAAATATATTGATCATCATGGAATAGCTTTATTTTGGGAAGGGCTTTGGACTTGCCTACTCAACAATGCAAGAAATTGAGCTAAGCAGCCAAGCTCCCAGTCTAATGTAAAATGTGTCATATTCTGAACTTGAAAATTATGACACAATGACTTAAGAATAACATATGTTATCTTGAATCTCCTCCCCCCTGCTACTTCCAAATTTAACAATTGCAATCTGTTGATTCCCAACATGGAAAATTCAAAGTCTTTGCACTGTTCATGATGGAGCATAAGATTGTTGCTCCATGCTAGAATTGTATGTTGTACGTTCTTGGTATCCATTACCAGTCCAAATTCTACCTATTTGTGCAGGTTGTCGCTATTTGTCGCTTTCCCCACTCAACTCCATGGTCACCTATGGGCATTGACAAAATCTTGGCTCCAGATAAGAGCAACAAGGAAATCTAGATGAAATTCTGCAGACGGTCATAAATTGGATCAACCCTGTGACCAACACAATTTTATTACCTTTTTTTGTGATGGACACTAATCAGACACCACTGTTGTTAACCAAATTCAATAGTCATTAAGCCAACGGGTTTGCTATGGGTGCAGTTTTGCCAAAAATCAGAAGTGTCAGGGTTTTTTTTGGCAAAACCATCGTAAAATGGGGTCACATGACCACATCTGCAAACACCTGTAAATGCGGCCTTGTTATCAAGTGCCTGAAGTTCAGTCAGGTGATCATGGGGGAAACCATCAGAAGTTAGAATCTGGGTCAAAAAGTCATAATCCCTTTTTTGGGCTGGTTGTAACTTGAACAGTCGCTAAGTGGTGGCGCAGTGGTTAGAATGCAGTATTGCAGGCTAATTATGCCGACTGCCAGGAGTTCAATCCTAACCCAGGAATTTGATGCTGACCAGCTCAAGGTTTACTCAGCTTTCCATCCTTCCGAGGTGGGTAAAATGAGGATCCAGCTTGTTGAGGGCAATATGCTGACTCTATAAACCACTAAGAGAGGGCTGTAAAACACTACGAAACAAAATATAAGTCTAAGAACTATTGCTATGTGACTGGACTGTCAGTAGATAATTACGGTAGATAATATTATGGGTATTGTTTTGTGTACTGCTTAGAGCCCATTGGGACTAAAGCACTTAAACAAATAAGTTAAATTGATTTCAACAGCTTTATTCCAAATGTGATTACATTACTATTTCTTTTTTAAAGCTTTCTGCCTCGATCTAACGCAGTGTTTCTCAACCTTGACAATTTTAAGGCATGTGGACTTCAACTCCCAGAATTCCACAGCCAGCACTGCTGGCTGTGGAATTCTGGGAGTTGAAGTCCACATGCCTTAAAATTGTCAAGGTTGAGAAACACTTATTCTAACGTCTATTTCTTAGGAAGAAAAATGGGTGGAAGGGATTCCAAGAGAGAAGACAGGATATAAATCAAACCAATGAATGCAATAAAATGTCCACCATAAAAACAATTAAGACAACATTTTAAAAGCAGTAGGAAAGTAAGCAGCTTTCCCCAAATCATAAAATGCTAATCATGTTCAACACTGTGGTAAGAATGCTCATCTAAGTGTTTTCAGGAAAACACTGCTATTGGAACTAAGGAGATGTCCTTCTTCAACAGCACCCTTGCTAGATGTTAGCCAGATGTGGAGTGTTCCATCCAGCCTGCAGAACAAGTAAATGTGGGCGCTTCTACTGAAAGTGGCATTGAGAATTGAAGAAAACCTTTTAGCAACCTTGAATAAGTATAATATAAACATTGCTATTTTTTTTTCTTTTGTCTTTCTGGTGTTGCTTCAAAAAATAAAAATAAAAACCTTGAGAAAAAAGTAAACAGGCCAAACATATCACAGTGTTTGCTGTGGAAGACTGTCAGTTATTAAAAGCTAACAAACCTTCACAAAGAGGAATGCAGTAAAAGCGATTTATTCTGGATTAACAATAGACTACGGATCCTACAAGCACCATTTTGCTTTTAAAGCTATTGTAAAGCAAGGTTCAGGACAAAGTCTTCTTCCTATGGCTAGGCAAAATGCTCACCCTTGAGCGCTGATAAAGAAACAGAAGACTTCTTTGAAACTTGTGGTTAAAGCAACAATAACCTAATTTAAGGATATCAAAAGACCCTGGTCTAATTGACACTATCTGTATCTCTACTGTGTTGGAGATATGCTTGCATCTTCTCGAAACAAACGTAGCTTCTGAATAGCCAACCTCGTACAATGATGGGCAAAGCTACACATGGGCCGGTTTCAAAATGGCATTAAGGAATTTATGTACTAGTTCAGGGTTCTTCAAACTTGACCCTTTTATGGCTTGTGGACTTCAACTCTCAGAATTCCTTTGCTGAGGAATTCTGGGAGTTGAAGTCCACAAGTCATAAAAGGGCCAAGTTTGAAGACCTCTGGTCTAGTTGATAGGACTCCCTGTGATTATTATCTATTATGG